GTTATCTGGTACAAAGAGCTATTTTCACCTAATAGCTCAGAATAAAGTCCCAGGGTCTTTTAATAGAGAAAAACAAGATTTAAGAAGAGCATCTTAGCTTGGCCAGCGTGGCTAAGTGGTTGAGCATAGACCCATGAACCAGGAGGTCACGATTTGATTCACATTCAGGGCACTTGCCCTGGCTGCAGGCTCGTTCCCCAGTAGGGGGTATGCAGGAAGCAGCCAATTGAGGATTATCTCATCATTGATATTTCTTTTTTTAAAAAAAAAAAAACTTAATTTTGTATATTTTTATTGATTTTTTAGAGAGGAAGAGAGAGGATAGAGAGTTAGAAAAATCATACCAATGAGCTGCCTCCTGCATGCCCCCAACTGGGGATAGAGCCTGCAACCAAGGTATATGCCCTTGACCAAAATTGAACCTGGGCCCCTTCAGTCCACAGGCAGATACTCTATGCACTGAGCTAAACTGGTTAGGGCTCATCATTAATGTTTCTACCTTTCTTATTCTCCCTTCCTCTCACTGAAATCAATAAAAACATATTAAAATAATAATAAATTAAAAAGATCATCTTAAAAAATGAACCAATGTAATTATAAATGCTACACCTTTTCTCCTAAGTTTCTCTAGGGATTTTGTACTATATCTATGTTAAATGGCTGCTCAAGATTTTAATTGTTTAACGTATTTTTGTTGTTCTCACCTAAGGATATTTTTTCCCATTGATTTTTTTTTTTTAAGAGACTGGAAGGGAGGGAGAGAGAAAAACATCCACGTAAGAGAATCAAGTCTGCAACTGAGGCACATGCCCTTGACTGGAATCAAACCCAAGACCCTTCACTCTGTAGGTCGACACTCTAGCCAAACTGGCTAGAGCTGTTTCACATCTTTTACGTCAAAAGCTAGAATAGGAAAGCTGCTCATTTCTCTTGAAAAAAATCAAAACTCAGAGAATAGTCAACCACCTCTAGTGGAGGCAGATCCTAGCTGCAGACATGCCCTCTGGTGCTGAACAGTAACAGCAACTATAACGTAAAGAGAAGCAAGAAAGGAGAATGTTCCTCATCCAAGAAGGTAGTCCCCGGAAGACTGTAAAAAGGGCTTTGATAATAGCCAAATGTGCCAGAAAGTACATGAATTTGAACTCATCACTACACACTCTGGCCTATAACTAGTTCTAGTTCTTTGTACTGACAAAAGATCCCAAGCCCTGGCAGAGTAGCTCTGTTGGCTAGAGTATTGTCCCGATATGCCAAGGTTGCAGGTTCGATCCCTGGTCAGGGTACATGTAAGCAATCAATTAACGCACAAATAAATGAAACAACAAAATAAATGTTTCTCTCCCGCACCTCTTTCCTCTTTCTGTCACTCAAATAAATTTAAATTTTTTTTTAAGTTCCCCAATATTCAGGGTTGGTTCAGTGATTAATATGGTTGCTATGAGTTGTCCCCATGCCCAGAGACCTGTTCGACCCATTACAAAGCAGGGCATCCCTCGGGCTTGTGTAGCTTAGAGACCTGGGAGTCAGGCAAACTGTGCCTATCTGTCCCTGAGTCAGGGTATTATATTCTCAGAGGAATAGGAATACACTTTCCCCAGTCCTAAAGCAGCTTAAATTAGACAAATGACAGCAGCAAAACACCCCTGGAATTCAGTGAGGAAGAAAGCTTAGAATCCACCCTTATATCCCATATATTAGCTTTAACTTAGCAAAGAAGTCTGATTATAAATGTGTCAAAATAATTGTTTCAGGAAATTCACAAGTTATAATACTAGTGAATGAAAGTCTGATAAAAAAAAAGTAATATTTACAAAGACTCCAAGTACTGTCCACCAAAAAATACTTAAGTGGAGCATAGTAACTTTACATAGGAGAAACTTGGCAAAAAGCACCTACCTAAATAAAAGTTAACATCACTAGTAATGGGATAAACCTCTATCATTATATCATGTTACAGTTATCATCCTTTTGTGGTACCTGCCCAAAATAGATAAAACTTATCAAGAAGAAACTTCTGATTGGTATTGAAGAACACTCTACAAGAGTCCATATGCTTCAAAAGCATCAAGACCATGAAAGACAAAGACTTTTCCAGATTGATGAACTGTTCCAGATTGAAGGACACTAAAGAGACATGGGAACTAAATACAATGTGTGATCTGCCCTAGCTTAGTGGACAGAGCATCAGCCTGCGGACTGAAGAGTCCCGGATCCCCACGTAGGGGGGCATGCAGGAGGCAGCCAATCAATGATTCTCTCTCATTATTGACGTTTCTATCTTGCTCGCTCTCTCCCTTCCTCTCTGAAATAATAAAAATATATTTTATAAATAAATAAATAAATAGATAGATAGATATATGCAGTGTGTGATCCTGGATTAGATCCTGAACCAAAATATTTTCATTTTGCTATAAATACATTAGCAAGATAAGTGAAAATTTCTGAATAAGGCCTATAGATTGCATCAGTAAAAATTTTCTGACTTTTACCATTTTAAGATAGCTCTATAGGAGACTACCTTTTTTTCCTTAGGAGACACACACTAAAATATTAAGGGGTATATAAAATGGCATTATGTCTGGAATTTATATTCAAAGGTTTCAGGAAAAAAACAATATGTACATACAGAGAGAAAATAATAAAAGCAAATGTAAAATACTGAAATTTGGGGAATCTAGATGAACATTATGCAAAATTGTATTTTTTATTTCAAAATAAAACATTAAAACCGCACTCTGAGCACTTACATGCATACTTCATATTCAAATAAGTTTTTATTCTGTGAAAAAATCCAAGTTGTTTTCCATGTTTGCATTAGCTGTTCCTTTCTCACAGAATGTTCCTACCCAGATTTTCACATAGCTTTCCTCCTCCTCAGCTTAAATCCCACCTCCTCAGAGACCTCCCCAGACCACTTAAACTAAAGGGTGACAGTTGTAAGACAACTGTTGACAGTAAATCACATCGCCAGTCATTTTCTTAAATAAATTGAGAAGCGCTTTTACTTGTCTCTCCTCCTTCCCCAACCAGGACATAAAGGAGTATGTCATATTCACAGCAATATCTCCAAAAATACAATAGGTAAATATTAGTTGTTGCTACTAACATGTAACCCAAATTCCATAAATGTGGAATTTTTTCATGGATTAAACTCTTATATTTGGAGGCACAATAATCCTATTCAATTCCAGGAAATAGCCTAGCTATTGAGTTACTGATTTTTGAACACTGCATTTTGTCAAATACTTTTTGTACCAGTACCCAAGATGCCACTGCAAAGGATTCAGAAATTAAAAGTAGAATGCTAGCACATAGTTGGTAATCAATAATCACATTTCAATTATATTATACAGCTGCATTCATCTATTAGTTTTAAAAGTAGATATATTAATTTGGGTTGCTTAATATAAAACAAGTGGCATAAGTAAGGTAAAGGAGTGGAAAAGGTTAGGGCAGTGATCGGCAAACTGCGGCTCGCAAGCCACATGCGGCTCTTTGGCCCCTTGAGTGTGGCTCTTCCATAAAATACCGACTTCTGCGCATGAGCCATGAAGTTTCAATCCCACTGTACATGTGCACCCGCATGTGGTATTTTGTGGAAGAGCCACACTCAAGGGCCAAAGAGCCACATGTGGCTCGCAAGCCGCAGTTTGCCGACCACTGGGTTATGGAGTAATTATTGTTGGAGTAATTATTGTTGCCTCTTCCACAGCATTATTTTTCTTCCATCCAGAAAGAAACCACCTGCCTGCAACCTCAAGTAGTATTCACTACCTTACCTGACTCAATCTCATTAAAGACAAGACATAAACAACACACACATCCTGCAAGCCAGCACCAATAAATAAGATAAAGAAATTTATATGAATAAAAAGAGCAGGGGAGTGACCTGACTATAACTTCTCACTTATTTATATAACTTAAAAATAACTATCATGTAATCTAACCTTTAAGATGAGAGTGTCATTTCTAATCCATAAACACATTCTGGTATAGCAAAGAAAGTCAGATGGCCCATATGAAAAGTATTGTAATATCTTTTTATAAATAAAGCACATTCAATACAAAGTTAAATAAAAGGGCCAATAAAAATGAGTCTCTCTAAATTTTATATTATTTTGTAATTCCTAAATATGCCAAGACCAAAAAATAAAGAGGTGGTTTACTTTTAAAACAATATACAGTGGAAAATACAAAAAAAAAAAAATGATGAAAGAAGATAGGAAATAAGGGCCTATGTCATATCAAGTCTAAAATACCCGAAAGCAAAATGCCTGAAAAAATTTTAAATATACTGATGTAGACTACAAAACATATCATCTATACACTATCTATTATATAAAAAGCCTGTGGTCATCACACCATCATGCCATAACAACTGATCACAGGAGGCTGCGTGCTCGGGGTGGGCGGGGCGGGGCTGGGTGGGAACTTGACTCTGGAGGACTAGACCAGAGGCACGGGTGGGTTTCTGGGTCCTGCCTCCCACGGCAGCTGCCAAGGGACTCTGGGTCCTGGGTCTTGCATGATTTTGCACGCTGGACCCCTAGTTCTCTATAAAACAGTAAACTCCTCTCTGCTTATCTCTTTCCTGCATTTCAGAATAATTTAGTTGCTCCTCCCAAATGAGCCACCAGGCCAAGATGAAACTACATTCCTAAAGTAGCATAATATCCCAAATTAATAAACGGTAAGAGCCCTAACTGGTTTGGCTCAGTAGATAGAGCGTTGGCCTGCAGACCAAAGGGTCCTGGGTTCGATTCCGATCAAGGGCACGTACCTCACTTGCAAGCTCCTCCCCAACTCAGGGCCCTGGTTACATTTCATGCAGGAGACAACCAATCGATGTGTTTCTTTCACACAGATATTTCTCTCTGTTTTTTCCCCTCTCTTCTACTCTCTCTAAAAATCAATGGGAAAATATCCTTGGGTGAGGATTAAAATATAAATAAATAAATAAATAAAGGTGAGAAATGATACTAACAAAAAAGCGAGGGGAGAAGATAATCAATGGGCCAATAACTTTAATTTTAAAGCCAGTGGGTAGCTCTGGCTGGGTGGCACAGTTGGTTGGAGTGTCATCCTGTACACCAAAAAGGCTGTGGGGGTAGAACCTGGTCAGGGTATATGTCTAGGTTTCGGGTTCGATCTCCAGTTTGGGCATGTATGGGAAGCAACTGATTGATGTTTCTCTCACACATTGATGTTTTTCTCTCCCCCTTCCTCTCTCTAAGAATCAATCCTATCCTATATAATAAAGAGCTAATATGCTAATTAGACCAAACAGCAGAACAAGCATCGGAACAACCTTCCAGACAAAGCCGAGGCTGCTAGGGCCAGCTGGGGCTGCGAGGGTCTTCGAGGGCCAGCCGGGGCTGCAAGGGCTGGCCGAGGCTATGAGGGGCTGCGAGAGCTGAGCCCCTTGCAGAAATTCGTGCATCGGGCCTCTAGTAAAAACATATTCTTGGCTGAGGATTTAAAAAAAAGCTAGTGGATAAAACACATTTCCTAAAGTCCAACATAAGAGAATTTATAATAACATTTTGGTCAAAACTTCTAATTTTTGTTGTTGTTATCCTCTCCTGAGCATATTTTTCCCATTTATTTTTTTAGAGAGAGAGGGAGGGAGGAAGAGAGGGAGATATCAAACACCTATTGTTTGCTCCCGCATGTGCCCCAACCAGGGGCAGGGAGTGAACTGGCAATCCAGGCACATGCCTTTGACTGGGAATCAAACTGGGGACCCTTCCGTGCACATTATAGGATCAATGCTCTAAACCACGGGTGGGCAAACTTTTTGACTCGAGGGCCACAATGGGTTCTTAAACTGGACCGGAGGGCCGGAACAAAAGCATGGATGGAGTGTTTGTGTGAACTAATATGAATTCAAAGTAAACATCATTACATAAATGGGTACGGTCTTTTTTTTTTTTTTTTTTTTTAGTTTTATTCATTTCAAATGGGCCGGATCTGGCCCGCGGGCAGTAGTTTGCCCACGGCTGCTCTAAACACTGAGAAACATGGGCCAGGGCAGAACTTCAAATTTTACATTATTCATATAAAGGGTCTTCACAGCTCATTTGAAAACAACCAAAATTACATAATCAAAACACTTCATTCTTAAACATCAGTAAATGAAATCAAAAGATTTCAGAAGATGAACCATTCTTTCAGAGTACACTGTCATGTCTTAGAGACCAGTACAGCAAACAGTCTGCCTCCTCCTTTGGATCACAAGCATCTCTGGTCCCCCTTATTCTATCTTACCTCTACCACGGGCTCGCTTGCCACGGTCTGAAGGCTTGTCCCCTTGATTGCAATCAATTCCATTCTCTTCACCTCTAACTAAGAAATAAAAGAGGACCTCATAAATAATCATACCAGACAGCTATTAAAAGCAAGAACAAAAAGACTTTTTTTTAAAGGCTAAAATATAACCAAAGGGTTTTTTAAAAAGAAGAAAAACAAAAGTGGCTCGCCCTAGCTGGTTTGTCTCAGTGGATAAAGCATCGGCCTCTGGACTGAAGGGTCCTGGGTTCGATTCTGGTAGAGGGCACATGCTAAGGTTGTGAGTTCGATCCCCAGTGTGGGGCGTGCAGGAGGCAGCCGATTGGTGGTTCTCTGTCATCATTGATGCTTCTATCTCTCTCTGCCTCTCCCTCTCTGAAATCAATGAAAATACATATTTTTTAAAAAACAAAAGTGTCTCAAAAACGGAGTAATAGCACATCTTCCTTATTAATTTATAGGTAACAATTCTAAAAATAAATTAAAATGACATACCACTTTTTATTTCTTCTATTTGGACTTGCCCTCCCCTAAAATAAGTTTGTTTCAAAAAGCCACCTTTGTTGCCCTAACCGGTTTGGCTCAGTGGACAGAGCGTCGGCCTGCGGACTAAAAGATCCCAGGTTCGATTCCGGTCAAGGGCATGGTCCTTGGTTGCAGGCACATCCCTAGTGGGGGGTGTACAGGAGGCAGCTGATCGATGTTTCTCTCTCATCGATGTTTCTAACTCTATCCCTCTCCCTTCCTCTCTGTAAAAAATCAATAAAATATATATATTTTTAAAAAGCCACCTTTGTTATTCAACTATGTAATACACCACACATTTGCTGATTAGTTAGGTTTAAGGTCTGGAAGGGCATAGGATAGCAAAACAACACCATCAAGGAAATACTGTTATTGAAGAAATTAATGTTAGAGACGGGTTTTTACAGGATACTGTCCAGAAGATGCCATACAGTCTTTTCTTCTCCTCATACCTATATTGGCATTAATGATTCTATATAATATAGAAATTTTATGAGTGATATTGGCATAGCTTGCTCCCGTCTCTTTCAGAGACTAATTCCTATGAATTCTCATGAAAGTGCCACTCCATTTAAATTTACCATATCTCTCTTTATAATCCCAATCTCTGTTCTTTGTTTTTATCCACAGCATAATTTCTACATAACACCAATATATATTAATAGAAAATATTACTTTTCCTTTTTATTGTTACATCTAACTCTACCTCCATTAAAAGGTAAGTTTTAGGAGGGCAAAAATGTCTGTACCATCATCTAATGCTGTATGCCTATAAGAGTACTGAGTACACAGCAGGTACTCAGTAAATATCCATGGGATAAACTAGCAAAAGTCTCTAAGGTGAGCCCTGGCCGAGTGGCTCAGGTGGTTGGAGTGTTGTCCTGTATGCCAAAAGGTTGTATGGTCCAATTCCCAGACAGTGCACATAACTAGGTTTCAGGTTTGATCCCCATTCAAGATATGTACAGCAGGCAACTGTTCTGTTTCTCACACCGATGTTTCTCTTTCTCTTTCTCTCTCTCTCCCCTCCCCACCAACTCTCCTTTCCTCTATCAATAAACATATCCTCAAGAGAAGATTTATAAAAAGTCTCTAACGTGATGTTTAATATTTACATTTTATTCATTCATAACTTAGCTACTTTGGTGTATCTATACACCAGGTTGTTGTTCCTGGGTCGAATGGCAATTACTGAGAAAAATCTTCCCTATTCAACAACTTTCTATTTATTTTAACCTTTGCCTATACCAGTGGTCGGCAAACTCATTAGTCAACAGAGCCAAATATCAACAGTACAACAACTGAAATTTCTTTTGAGCCAAATTTTTTAAACTTAAACTATATAGGTAGGTACATTGTTATTAACTTAATTAGCGTACTCCTAAGCCTTAGAAGAGGCACACTCAAGGGGCCAAAGAGCCGCATGTGGCTCGCAAGCCGCAGTTTGCCGACCACGGGCCTATACCCTGAGGAAGAATAAAGAGCTTCATCTATCAGTGAATGAAAATTCTCCTTTAAAATTAGAGGATGTACTTGATTCACAACAGAAGGCAGTCTTTTTTTTTTATGTTTTTATTGATTTTAGAGAGAGAGGAAGGAAGAGGGAGAGAGAGTAAAACATCGATGAGAGAAACACTGATCACCTGCTCCCCACTGGAGATTGCACCTGCAACCCAGGCATGTACCCTGATCAGGAGTCGAACCAGGGACCTTTCGGTACAGGGGATGATGCTCAACCAACTGAGCCATACTGGCCAGGACAGAAGGCAGTCAAAACACACAAAACATAATTAACTAACTACAGCCCCGGTCAATGCTGATATGAAATTGCATCAATTACTAAATTAACTAAGTAGTTCATTAGAATCTAAATGTTAATTATAACAAATGGAGCATTGAGGGAGTGGATTTATGGACATTCTTTGGACCACTCAGCTTGCATGAAAATTTCCATCATAAAAAGTTCAGGAGAAAGGTCTATACTTACACTCTCTCACACGATTGCCACCTCTTCCTTTCCGGTTGTTGTTTCCACGTCCACGACTCACTTCTCTCTCACTTCTCTTCTCTCTATTCTCTTTGTTTTCTGAACTTTCTTTTCCAAAATTCTTCTTCTTCCCCCCTACAGTCTCCCATGAGGTCTACCAAAGATAAGAGTTGTCAAAGAGTGTACAATTACTAAGAATGTGTGCATGTATCTTCCAAACCTAATTATCCATGCCTTGTAGCTTGCTTGCTACCATTTTAATTCTTTTCCATATAATTCTACTTTCCAATGCTAAAGACAGCAACCTCTTGCTAAACTCCTTTGCTATATAGAGCACAAAAGATTACAGCAACTAGGTGAATTGACAACATACTCTATGTTGTTCTGCCACCAAAAAGGATTTTTTTTTTAATATATTTTATTGATTTTTTACAGAGAGGAAGGGAGAGAGATAGAGAGCTAGAAACCTCGATGAGAGAGAAACATCAATCAGCTGTTTCTCAGAAACCCGCAGCCCAGGTACATGCCCTCGACCGGAATCGAACCTGGGACCTTTCAGTCCGCAAGCCGATGCTCAATCCACTGAGCCAAACCGGTTTCGGCCAAAAAGGATTTTTTCTATGCTGATTTGTGAGTAAAGTAAATGTCATTTCCCCAGTTTCCCACGCTATGCCAAGCTCACCTACGTCAGTAGTAGGGCTTAAGTCTATTAAATATATACATTAGCTCAAAGATTACAAAGATACATAAAATGATGCCCTAAACCAGCCGTGGGCAAACTACGGCCCGTGGGCCGGATCCGGCCCGTTTGAAATGAATAAAACTGAAAAAAAAAAGACCGTACCCTTTTATGTAATGATGTTTACTTTGAATTTATATTAGTTCACACAAACACTCCATCCATGCTTTTGTTCTGGCCCTCCAGTCCAGTTTAAGTACCCATTGTGGCCCTCGAGTCAAAAAGTTTGCCCACCCCTGCCCTAAACTCTCACGAATACAACTTTCCCTATTCAGTTACTCAAACTAACCATCAAAAAAGTTTTAATAGAGAAAATTTTGGTTTAGTTTTTTTAAGTACGTGAAATTTAAACCTCAAAGACCTATTCTAATGAGAAGTCAATGATTTATTTATAAAACCTCCCTTCTCCCCATCTCTCCTCTAATGGTGATACCAAATCAAATCATACCATATACAGGATGGGGCAAAAGTAGGTTTACAGTTGAGTACGCAAAACACAGTTTATTTTTCTTGATTTCAGAGAGGACGGGAGAGGGAGAGAGATAGAAACCTCAATGATGAGAGAGAATCATTGATTGGCTGCCTCCTGCATGCTCCACATTGGGGATCAAGCCCACAACCTGGGCATATGCCCTGACCGGGAATTGAACTGTGACCTCCTGGTTCATAGGTCAACACTCAACCACTGAGCCACGCTGGCCAGGCTTTCACAGTTTACTTTAAATGTTCTAGCTCCTAGCTAGAGTATTTACATAGCATCCCGCCTCCCCACCTCCAATTAATTCTACCTCAGTCAGAAGATACTCCTTATTGCTGCTAGTTAGCCATGCTACAGACAGCATGGAAAGTAAAGATGCACCACAAAATAATCCTAAACAACTTTCCCTCTGCTTCTGCATTTCCCCTTACCTTCAATCAAGCATACACCTTTTGTGACTAGATTCAAGCACTAATTTGCTGTTTTCTGACCTTTGAAGAAAACAAGCCAGATCTGGCTACCACTGTGTGATTTCTAGGTTTAAGAGGTAACCAAAAGGACATTCTTGATGTAACATTCAGTCCAGAACACCTCCTTTGGATTCAGTCCCAGAGGAGATGTTACAACGCAATAAACCACAAAGAGAAAACTGGACTTTTAAGACTTAAAAATTCACCCGGTTACCACAGAAAAGAATGAAATCTGCTGGATGTAAAGGAAAAGCAACAAAAAGTAGTATCCTGTCCTATCTCTATGATAAAAAAAAAAAAAAATAGGCCCTCCCATTAATAATTTGAATATATTTCATTTGTTCATATTGATTATTTTTATAAAAAGGGAAGGTAAGACCTTCAGTTCATTTGGAAAATAACATAGCCATTCTACACTGAACCCATTAGCAATGAGGTAAACACATTCCCCATATTTAAAAAACAAAACAGTAAATACATGCTTGTTAGCAAACAAAAGCTATTCAAAATTTTATTTCAACACTTAACATTATATATTTTCCCAACAAACTGACATATTTAGTGGTTTATTATGTGGACCAGTGTTATTTTGCATGGAATTTTACCCACAAATACTGCTATATTCAAATAGTGAAAGATTTTCCCAAGTACCTAAATATTTAACTACAAAATTAATTTTTCTTGTTTCATATTAATTAAAAAAATATTCATTTTACATTTGACCTTGTCATGGCAGTTCATTTTTACACAGCCTGACTCTAATACAGCCTATCCCTAAAACTGAGAACATGATTAAAACTAAACACAAGGAAGCCACTTTTTTTCCCCCTTTAATGCTTAACCAAGACATGTTTTTTTTTTAGAGAGAGGGAGGAAGGGAGAGAGAAAACATCAATTGGCTGCCTTTCGTACATGCCCTGAACCAGGGATTAGGGACTGAGCCCACAGTCTCAGGTATGTGCCCTGACCAGGAATCAATCCAGCAACCCTTCGGTGCACAGGATGCTGCTCAAAAAAACTGAGCCACTCTGGCTGGGCAAGGAAGGCACTTTTTGATGGGTCATCTTTGTACCCCTTTTTCAATAAGTCATTAGTTGTTTTAACCTGCTCGGAGGTGGTTTCCTCAATTTAAAAATACAAATGAAATATTGTGCAATCTCTCCACATAGGAATCAAAAGATTAGTGCTGGCAACTGCCTGGTATGGCTTTAGTTGCATCCTTCCTAAAAGAAGAGAGATGAGTTCTAGTGTGCCTGCACATTCCTCAAACTTTCTAAGCTAAAAAACACCCAAAAATAATTTAAAAACTTTTATCCTTTTATATATCTGTCAAACTGTCATGAAAAATGTGTCTGTAGAATATTCACACATAAGCAAATAGATATACCAGCAAATCCTGGTTTTCTGTTAGTCTAGAGATATAAGGAGTAGTAAGAGGTGACGACTGAGATGAAGAAACATGAGCAGTGGAGCCAAGAGAAGTTTTTTCAGGTGGTGAAAATATCCACAGGCCCAGAGAATTTTGGAAACTGTATAAGGCTGGAGTAGATGACCAAGTTCTCTTTCGAGTCTTCAGATTCTACGACTTCATGAAGAAACCATATATAACAAAAACAGTCATTTCAGGTTAGTGTTCTTTCTGGAACTTAAAACAAATATGGAATGGCACCCATAATTCCCTCCATCCCCACCTCCATATAAGGTGAAGTTTAAAATGCAATATGGGGTTGGAAACAAATCTTAGCACTGCAAATCAACGAATAATACTTAATAATCTTACTGTGTCTGAATTCCCTTCCAGCAATATATTGATAGCTTTGTTCACATCTCCATTACAGTCATGTAGGGCGACTATGCATTCATCCTGATTTTTTCCTGTCACTTCCATAAGCTGTTGAAATTATAAGAACATGGTTAGGGAGACCCCAAAAATGGCACTTGATATTTTAAGATTCTTCTGCATAAAGACAGAAATATTCAGGCCTTCCACATGAAGATGGCCTCTTCTACACTCTGAGCTTTTACCTGTTTTGTTTGTGGCCACCCCATGTCTTTTCACCAATATTGGCAGAGTCAAACTACAAATTAACCCTCCTTCAAGATGACCAATATCAGGTTATTAATCAGCAGCATACACATATATATACCAACATCCTCAGAATACTCTGGATCAGTTATTGTGTACTCAAACTTGGTCCATAGCCTGCATTCCTAAAATTCTAAACTACACAAATATTAAGTGGAATTTTATGTTTCCCAAAGACCACATGTATGTGGGCACCATTAACAGAATATTCAGTCCAACTGTTTTGCACAGGGACAAAGTTCCCTACATAAGATATTACTACTTGGATTATAACACATATAAATTATAACAGCTAAGGTCTCACAAGGAATTCTTCAGTGATCACAAAACTCACTCCTACACATAATATATTCTCAAGCAGATTCCACAGGGTGCTATGTTTGACAAAATCAAAGAAATCCCTTTGGTGCATTCTGTATAACAAGAGAGATTAAGCTGCTTAACATTTTCATCACAAAGCAATCAGATTAGGCAAAATAAAAGTGTTTCAATTATCAGTTAACAACTGTATGATTTAAGTATCTATTGTGTTTTAATTATCTTAACTATTTTAGTACTAGAGGCCCGATGCATGGGATTCATGCACTGGTGGGGGGCGTGGCCTGCTGCAGACCCACCCTCTGAGCAATTGTTCCCACTGAGGGAGCACACTGACCACCAGGAAGCAGCTCCTGTGTTGAGTGTCTGCCCCCTTAGTGCACGTCGTAGCGACTGGTCAACCGGTCATTCTGTCTCTCGGTCGCTGGGCTTTTGCTATATACAGGATGTACTAACCGCAGTTCAAAATCATTTGACCCCAACATTTGAAGTACTTTCTCTGTGGTTAAAATGCTAGTTAAGAGAAAGCCTAATAGGAAAAAAAAAAAAAGCAAAGCCTATCTGGAAACCAGGTCTCCTGATCTCATAAATATAACTCTTTGCATTACACCACTGTCTCTCTCATTTCCTCCCTGTAACGGTGAAAGTTCTACACACTTTCCAGTACACTTTGTTCTCTGGATATCTACTAATAATCAAATTTTTATCAATGATCTGGACTAAGCCAATATCTGTCATATGCAATTATTAAGATGCACAATAAGTATCAAAATCCCTCAGGTGATTGATTACCCTGGTGGTTGCTCAGTAGTTAGTGTCAGCCTATGGACAGAAGGGTCATGGTTTCGGATTCCCCATCAAGGGCACATACGTGTTTCAGGTTCGCTCCCCACCCCATCGGAGCATGTACAGGGTGTAACAGTGTGTGTCTCTTTCATATCAATGTTTCTTTCTCTCTCTCTCCCTCTCCCTCTCTCTCTTAATTCCAACCTATGCCTGCCTGTGTGTGTTTCTCCCCTCCTCCTCCCTACCCTTCACTCTCTCTAAAACAATGGAAAAAGTATCCTCGGGTAAGGATTAAAAAAAAAAATTTTTTTTAAATTCCTCCAGTGATTGGATCAGTAAGAAACAGAACTAAAGTTAGCACTTAAAACTCTGAACTCCTGAACCAGTGCTCTTGCTTGTGTATCTGCTATGCTATTCAGATAAAAGACAATATAATATGTGGTATGTCTCAAACTGTACATAAATCTCATTCCAGAGAATGAATTCTATAATTTTTAATAAATTCTTTTTGTGGCCTTCCAAAATCATTATCATTTGTCTTATGAAAGGAACTATAAGTAAGAACAAAGAGTTTACATAGTACAGGGCTAAAGAGTTCACTGTGGGATGTTCACTCCAAGGAGCAATTATTGGTAGAGCACTGACCTATGAACCAGGTAGTCACGGTTAGATTCCCTGTCAGGGCATATACCCAGGTTGCGGACTTGATCCCTAGTAGAGGGCGTGCAGGAGGCAGCTGATCTATGATTCTCTCTCATTATTGATGTTTCTATCTCTCTCCCTCTCCCTTCCTCTCTGAAATCAATAAAAATAGTTTTTTTAAATAAAATTAAAATCTCTAGTAAAATTTTCTTTTTAAAACATTAACAGAAATAGGTAACATCCTTTGCCAGAAACATACCTGTTTAACTTTAGCTTCAAATTCTGAATCATTTTTATCAAAGATCACCTGAGCGAGACGCATCTGTTCAGCTGTTGCCTGAAAAGTACAAAAAATTGTTAAAATTTGAGTACAAAAATATAAGTTAGATGCCAAACTCTGATGCAAAACAGATAAAACCTCTCTAGCACTCCAGCAACTACGGTAATAAAAAACATACACAACCTGTACCCATAAGGTAAATTAAGTATCAAATTAAATAATGTAAAGCTCCTATTTACTTGGCCAAATGACCTAAAGTTCTTATTCATCTTCATTGACTCATTTGAATTTTCTTTCCCCTGGAGAGATAGGAGTAACCAGCATTAAGAGAAAGTAGAACAAGAAATAGTGAAAACAACTGCCAGGACAGAGGCTTAGAATCAGGCTTGCTATCAAAACAAAAAAGCTCTGCTGTCAACTCCAAAAATGTATCATGGTCAGTTCTTAAAAGGCTATATTTATCTAAATAAAAGTTATTTTAAAAGTTACTATTTTTTAATTGCAATAAAAAATGGTTTTAACAAAAAAAATTTGAAAAGAAACTTTCAAACATAAAACTAGTCACCTCTGAAGAAAACTCTTTTCCAGTTGCTTTTTTAATGTAAAATCCTTTTTAAAAAATTCAAGTTTCTCACCGAAACCGGTTTGGCTCAGTGGATAGAGCGTCGGCCTGCAGACTGAAAAGTCCCAGGTTCGATTCCGGTCAAGGGCATATACCTGGGTTGCGGGCACATCCCCAGTATGAGATGTGCAGGAGGCAGCTGATCGATGTTTCTCTCTCGTCGATGTTTCTAACTTTCTATCTCTCTCCCACCCTCTCTGTAAAAAAATCAATAAAATATATTTTAAAAAATTCAAGTTTCTTAATTGTTGTGGTTTCATTTTATGGTGTTTTTGACAATAATAAATTAAAAGGTATGGGAAAAGTTGCTTTTTTGTGCAGTGAGTTAATAATAATATACCAATTTGGTTTATTAGTTTTGACAGAGATACCATGGTTATGACAACAGGGAAACTAGGTGAGGGGTTTATAGAAATTCTTTCTTCTATATCTGCAATTTTCTGATAAAACTAAAATTACTCAGAAACGGGTTGTTCCCCCCAAAAGTTACCCTTCTTAGCTAAAATTTATACTAACTCCCAAAATAAATGTTTAAAAAGTGTTCAAAGTACTTAATGATCCTCACAAGAACTAATAATGAACAACTTTTCTTCTCTGCTTTAAGTACATATACACTGAGAAGCCAGATTATGATGACCACCTGACCTTTGTAGGCAAATTAGCTATAATTTCGCGCTGAAGTTGCTAGGGAGCCAGCCCATTATAAATAGGGAAGCAGGTTGCTTACCACGACAGTAAATGTGATTTTTTTCTGAAGATATGGGTAAACATATCAATATAATATGTGGTATGTCTCATATTATATTGGTTATAATGCTAGTTAAGAGCATTTATATAGCCTTTGAATGTGGAATATCCTATATAATGCTAGTTAAGAGCGATTTAACAGCCTTTGAATGTGGAATATCCTATACCATAAAAGAGAAACATGTAAATTGACCATCCCTCCACTACACCTACCAGCCAATCAGGAATATGCAAATTAAATCGACAAAGATGGTGGGTTAATTTGCATACAGAGGTGCCGGGAGGAGAGCAGAGCGTGAGAGCCGGCAGCTTGGGGGAATGTGACTCCCTCAATCGAACTCCCAAGCCACCAGACAGAGAACAGAGCATGAGAGCCAGAGGCTTGGGGGGACGTGGCTCCCTCAGTAGCCGGCAGAGAGCAGAGTGGGAGAGCCGGCAGAGAGTGGAATGGATTGGGGAACTTGGCTCCCCAAGCCGCCAGACAGAGAGCAGAGAGGGAGAGCTGGGAGCTTGGAGGACTTGGCAGAGTGGGAAGCCGTGGGACGGAGACAGCAGGAAGGGAAAACCAAGAGCGTGGGGAGCACCAGGAATGCTGGGAATCGTAGTTCTGGTGGCAGACAGATCTCCTAGACACTAGAGCAAAGTGAGCAAGTTACTGTTGTGGTGGGGGATGGAGGGGAAACAAAGGTGAGAGACATAAGTAAAATCAGAAT